CAACAACAGAAAACCTATAAACTCATTAGGTCATATTTCAAAAATTTGTACTCCACAAAATTTGAAAATCTAAAAGAAATGAACAAATATCTGTATAGGTACTACTTACCAAAGTTAAATCAAGATGAGATAAACAACTTAAATAGACTAATAACCCCTAAGAAAATAGAAGCAGTCATTAAAAATCTCCCAACCAAAAAAAAAAAAAAAAGTCCAGGGCCAAACGGTTTTAATCAGAATTCTACCAGAGTTCCAAAGAAGAGTTAATACCAATACTCCTCAAATTATTCTACAAAATAGAAGCAGAAGAAAATTGTCAAGTTCATTTTATGAGGCCACAGTCACCCTGATAGACAAATCACACAAAGATTGAGCAAAGAAAGAGAATTACAGACCAATTTCCCTCATGAACATTGATGTAAAATTACTCAATAAAAATTCTGGCAAACTGAACCAAGAACACATCAAGAAAATCATCCACCATAATCAAGTAGGCTTCATCCCAGAGATGCAGGGATGCACCATAATCAAGTAGGCTTCAAAGGAAAATCCATCAATGTAAATCACAATATAAACAAACTGAAAGAAAAAAACACCACATGATCATCTCATTAGATACTGGAAATGCCTTTGACAAAATCCAACACCCCTTCATGATAAAAGTATTGGAGAGATGAGGGATATAAGGTACATGCCTAAACATAATAGAAGCAATATACAGCAATCCAATAGCCAACATCAAAATAAATAGAGAGAAACTCAAAGAAATTCCACTAAAATCAGGAACAATACAAAGTTGCCCACTCTCTCCATAGCTATTCAATATAGTAACTGAAGTTCTAGCTGGAGCAGTAAGACAATGGAAGGAGAACAAGGGGTTGCAAATTGAAAAGGAAGAAGTCAGTGTATCATTATTTACAAATGGTATGATAGTATACATAAGCAACCAAAAAAAAAAAAGCTCTACTCAGGAACTCTTATAGATGATAAATACTTTTAGTCAAGATTAACTAAAAAAACAAATCAGTAGCCCTCCTATATACAAACAATAAACCAGCTGAGAATCAATATCCTTTACAATAGCCTCAAGCGATATAAAGTATCTTGGGGTAACTCTAACCAAGCAAGTGAAATACCTGTATGACAAGAACATCAAGTCTTTAAAAAAAGAAATTGGAGAAGGTATCAGAAGACAGAAAGATCTCTGTGCTTGTAGATCAATAGGATTAACATAGTAAAAATGCTCATCTTACCAAAAGCAATCTACAGATTCAATGCAATCCCCATTAAAATCACAGCACAATTCTTTACAGACCTGAAAAGAACATACTCAACTTCATATGGAAAAAATAATACCCCAGGGTAGCTAAAACAATCCTGTACAATAAAAGAAATTCTGGGGGTATCACCATCCCAGATTTGAATATCTACTACAGAGCTATAGTAAGAAAAGCACATGGTATTGGCATAAAAAACAGACACATGGATCGGTGGAATCAAATCAAAGACCTAGACATAAGTCCATATACCTATGGACACCTGATTTTTGACAAAGAAGCCAAATTATATAATGGAAAATAGTATCTTCAACAAATAGTGCTGTTTTAACCGGATGTCAGCCTATAGAAGAATGCAAATAGATGCATATATATCATCCTGTATAAAACTTAAGGAAGTGGATCAAAGACCGACCTCAACATAAATGCAGATACACTGAACCTGATAGAAGATAAAGTGGGACATAATCTCAAACACATTGGCACAGGGACAACTTCCGGAACAGAACACCAGTAGCACAGGCACTAAGATTAGCAGTAAGTGGGACTTCATGAAATTGAAAAGTTTCTGTAAGTCAATAGGACACAATGGCAGCCTGCTGAATAGAAAAAGATCTTTACCAACCAAACATCCAGTAGACAGCTGGTTTCCAAAATATATAAAGAATTCAAGAAACTAGATATTAACAAATTAAATAATCCAATTAAAAATGGATTGCTGATCTAAACAGAATTATCAACAGAAGAATTTCAAATGGCCAAGAAACATTTAAGGAGATGTTCAGCATCTTAGCCATCAGGGAAATACAAATCAAAACGACTCTGAGATTCCATCTCACACCTGTCAGAATGGCTAAGATCAAAAACACAATTGACAGCTCATGCTGTGGAATAAGCGGAATACTCCTCCACTGCTAGCAGAAGTAGAAACTTGTAAGGCCACTTTGGAAGTCAGTATCGCAGTTTCTTAGGAAATTGGGAATCAATCTACCACAGGACCCAGACATACCACTCTTGGGCATATACCCAAAGGATGCTCAATCATACCACAAAGACACTTGCTCAACTATGTTCATAGCAGCTTTGTTTGTAACAGCCAGAACCTGGAAACTACCTAGAAGTCCCTCAACCAAGGAGTGGATAGAGAAAATGTGGTACATTTACACAATGGAGTACTACTCAGTGGTAAAAAAACAATGGCATCTTGAAATTTGCAGGCTTTTTGGGTGGAACTAGAAAAAAAACATCCTGAGTAAGATAACCCCGACCCAGAAAGACAAACATGGTATGTACTCACTTACAAGTGAATATTAGTTGTAAAACAATGAGTAGCTATGCTATAATCTACAGACCCAGGGAGACTAGGTAACAAGGAGGGTTTATGGGGGAACGGGACACCCAGATATCCCTGGGAAGGGGAAATAGAAGAGATTTCGTGAGTGGGCTAAAGGCAGGTGGGAATGAGAACAGGAGCAATCAGGTTGGGGAGGGCGGAAGGGATAGTATTAAAAAAGATGACTAGGGGGCATTTTAGGGTGGGGTAAAAACGTGGCACAAGAGAATCTTCCAGGAATCTACAAAGACGACCCCAGATAAGACTCCTAGCAACAGCAGATACATAACCTGAACTGGCCATCTCCTCTGACCAAAGTGGTACTCAGCCCAGTTGTCATCAGAGAGGCATCCCACAGAGATGCAGGCCCACAGCCAAACATTAGGTTGAGTTCAGGTAATCTGGTAGAAGGGGAGAAGTTGTAGCCAGAGGGGTCAAGGACACCACAAGAAAACACAAAAATCAACTGACCTGGGCTCATAGGGGCTCACAGAGACTGAACTGACAACCAGGGACTGCATATATGTTGCAGTTGTGTGGCTTGGTCCTCTTGTGGGACTCCTAACAGTGGGAGCAGGGGCTGTCTTTGACTCTTTTGCTGTCTTTTGGGACCCTACCCCCCATACTGGGTCACCTTGCCCAGCCTTAATCCGTGGGGAGGAGCTTAGTCTCACTACAACTTGATATGCCATGGGAGACTTTGTCCTTTCCTAAACAGAAATGAAAGAGGAGTGGATTTGGGGGTGGGAACAGAGCGGGTGCAGGGAAGGAAGAACTAGGAGGAGAGGAGGGAGGGGAGACTTCGACCAGGGTGTAAAAACATTAGTTAATGAGAGAGAGAGAGAGTTGTGTGTTTCCGGCTGACAGTTCAGTGAAAGTCAGTCTCCACCCTGTGTGTTTGCCAGCTGGCTTCCATTCAGAGTGGCTGGGATGACAAGTGGCCCTCTCTTCCACTCACTTGCCGTTGTCCCCAGTCCAAATGCAAGGGAAGCTGTAAAATGCAGTCTTCCTGTGCGCTCAGAAAGGGACAAGGATATGACAGACTCACATGTGTTTGTCACACAGGCTAAAGGCAGATTCTGGACTTGGCTGGATGATCATGAGATATGACCGTGAGATAGCAGTAGAGACAACAGGCCTACTGTAGGCTCCATGATTTCATGTACAGTTTTTAATAATTTGGAGTAGAAACAATATTGGAAAGAATTATTCTCAAGAACCCCCAAGTAACATTCCTTTAAACTTGGTTCCTGGTCTAAACTTGTATCTCACCTGAAACCCTTCCTCCCTCCCTCCCTCCCTCCCTCCCTCCCTCCCTCCCTCCCTCCCTCCCTCCCTCCCTCCCTCCCTCCCTTCCTTCCTTCCTTCCTTCCTTCCGAGTGTCCATGTTCCAAGGAGCTCTCCTAAGTTTCTTCTGCTCCAATGTTCCATGACTCTTTCTGTGGTTCCCCCCTTTAATACCATCCCCGAGGAAGGTGAATGCCATGTAAAATTTGGGAGCCCTTGAAACGACCCTTGTCCTCAGCTGTGGACACCTTACAGACTCCCCTTCCTGCTTTCCATGGAAAATTCCAAGTTCAGGTGTAAGTAATGTGAAGCAATGGGTTATTCTGTGGGCAGCTATATTTCTTTATGTGTCTCTTTATCCTCATTTAGTATATAAATTATGTATTTCAAATGATGGAAATAGGAATTGAACGAACTTCAGTCACGCAGCATATTCCTGTCTGCTGCCAATGGGGGTGCAGTGTAAACAACTCAGTCTCTGTCTTTGGAGCTAATGCACAATAAAATACCCACCAGGCAGCGAGCCAGGTGGGAAGTGTTGGTACCGCGTTAGTGGGATGACCCAGAGACCCTGAGGCTGGGACAGGGTTAGCAAGACGGCCAAGTTGGCCAGAGTCAAGAGTGACAAGCCGTGAGCCTGGAGAGGCTGAGACAGAGTTTCAGGCTGGTCCAGGTTTGATGGGATGTTGCTGAGCAGGAAAATGATAGGAGGTCATTGCTCTGAAAGTGGAGAGTTGACTCATATGCAGACACGGAGGCAGGCAAGGCAGATCTCTGGGAAGACCCGGTAGTAATTTAGGGAGGGAACAGAGAGAGGGAAAGACCCTGAGCTTGCCTGAGCTAGTCCTCAGGGAGGTCTGTGTCCTAGGAAGTGAAAATTGACATGCCCAGGGAGTTTCAGGTTTAGCACAATGCTGCTGGAATGTTGGACAGGAAGAAATACCTAAGTGCACCGCTGAGCCTCAGAGCCATGGTCTAGAGTGGACACTAGGACATGTGTAGACAAGCCTGGAGATGGAGCGAGAGAGACAATAGGAAGGCATCAGTGCAGAACGCGCTCACTCTTCCTACTTCTTGTCAAACATGATAATTTCTTTTGGCAGCTTAACAGAAGAACGGAGTCTCATATTAAAGGAATTTGAGAAGATACCCAAGCCAGGAGTGAGTATCAGAGTATATTAAGTACAGCTGGACTCAAACATCCCTTTAAAAGTAACACCACACCCTGAAACATTTGAGACACCAAAAGTCCACAGTCATTGCAGATGCAGAAACGGAGATCTGCATGCTGCTGGGAGTTAATGCAAGCGAGGCAGCTGTCAAGCCTCCTGCGTTGACCGCTACACTAAGCGGTGTCATCAGACTGTGCTTGTCACTTAAAAACACCTGTAGTTGCTACACTCAGAGCTCCCTGAGCATCCCAGAGTTTGGTCGTAAAGAAGATCATGGTCTCACCATGATCAAGGCAATGTATGAAAGAACGCGTTTAGTCTGGGGCTCACAGTTACACTCGTGGTAGGGAGCCTGGTGGCAGGCAGGCAGGTGTGGTTCTGGAGCTGAGAGCCCACATGGGTCCAGAAGCGCAAAGCAGAGTGTGTGTGCGTGTGTGTGCGTGTGTGTGTGCATGCGTGCATGTGTGCGTTCATGTGTGTGCGTGTGTATGCATGCGTGTGTGTGCGTGCGCGTGTGCATGTGTGCGTGCGTGTGTGCGCGTGTGTGTGCATTTGTGTGTGTGAGTGCATTTGTGTGTGCGTGCGTGTGTGCATTCGTGTGTGTGCGTGCATTTGTGTGCCTGTGTGTGCGTGCGTGTGTGTGCATTCGTGTGTGTGAGTGCATTTGTGCGTGTGCGTGCGTGTGTGCATTCGTGTGTGTGCGTGCATTTGTGTGCCTGTGTGTGCGTGCGTGTGTGTGCATTCGTGTGTGTGAGTGCATTTGTGTGTGCGTGCGTGTGTGCATTCGTGTGTGTGCGTGCATTTGTGTGCCTGTGTGTGCGTGCGTGTGTGTGCATTCGTGTGTGTGAGTGCATTTGTGCGTGTGCATGCGTGTGTGCATTCGTGTGTGTGAGTGCATTTGTGTGTGTGTGTATGTGTGTGTATGTGTGTGAACTGAGCAGGGGGTGGAGGAAGGAGTTAATGGGATGGTGTGAGCTTTTGAAATCTCAAAGCCCACCCCAGTGACATACCTCCTCCAACAAGATTACACCCCCTAATTCTTCCCAAAGTGTTCCACCAACTTGGGAGCAAGCATTCAAATATATGGGGTCGTTCTCATTCAGACTCCACGATTGCTCACCTATTCCTGTTCAGCAAGCCATCTCAAAAGCTGGTGGCTTAAAATGACAAGCATTCCTGCTAGAGTCCTGCATTCTTTTGGTCTGAGCTGGCTTGGTTGGGGTAGGCTGAGCTACAGTGGCAGCTGAGTTAGGGAAGGCTGAGCTACAGTTATCTAAGGTTCCATGTCACATGATAGTGGAAGGATTTCCAACCGGAAAATATGCAGATCAGAACACACAAGAACTTTAAAGCCTCCGTTTAAGTAATTTTTGATAATGTTCTGTGTCAAACAGTGGACAGGGCCATGTCTATAGAAGATGGACTTGCCTTCTACGTGGAAAGAATGACAGAGACACATTACAGAGGCCCAGGAATGCCCTGGGGAATAAGAGGAAATTATTGCCAAGTTTTGAGACCTATAATAGAAAGCATTACTTCTTCTTTCAGGATGGTGTTTTTAAAATGTGCTGTCAATGGTTTAATTCCATGGCCAGCTCACAAATCTGTTGAATGTTTAGTAAGACATTGTTAATTCTATATAAGGACATCTCTAGTGGTTAATATTGATTGTAAACTTGACAAGATCTAGAATCTTCTAGCAGACAAGTCTTGGCATTCTTTTGGGGGATCATCTAGATTTGAGTCTCTGGGCAGGACTGTGAGGTGGGAACAGACTGGGGTCCTGCAGGGATGTAAGGAGAATGCCAGCTGAGCACTAGGGTGCTTCCTGCTGGTGTGAGCAGTCACCACAAGCTCTGCTGCTGGGACTTCTCTACCACAACCAACTGTGCCAAAGCAGACCCTCCCTCTCCAAGTTCCTCTTTACAGGTGTTTAATCACAGCAACGACACAGCATCCACCACCATTTATAACACACACACACTCATACTCACATACAGTCACACACACTCATTCATACTCATACTCACACACACTCACACTCATACATGCTCACACACACTCACACTCATACATGCTCACACACTCACATTCATACACACTCTCACACTCATATACATGCACACACTCACACGCACTCACACTCATACATGCTCACACACTCACATTCATACACTCTCACACTCATATACATGCACACACTCACACGCACTCACACTCATACATGCTCACACACTCACATTCATACACTCTCACACTCATATACATGCACACACTCACACGCACTCACACTCATACATGCTCACACACTCACATTCATACACTCTCACACTCATATACATGCACACACTCACACGCACTCACACTCATACATGCTCACACACTCACATTCATACACACTCTCACACTCATATACATGCACACACTCACACACACTCACACTCATACATGCTCACACACTCACATTCATACACACTCTCACACTCATATACATGCACACACTCACACGCACTCACACTCATCCATATTCATACCCACACATGCACTCATTCATACTCATACTCACACATACACTCATACACACTCACACACTGATACACACTCATATTCACACACTCATTCAGTGTCACACACATTCATGAGAGAGACAGAGAGAGAGGAGAGTTCTGGGTGACTGACGTTACTGGCAGTAGAAGGGAATCTCAAAGCAGCTCAGCGCAGGCAGACCAATGGAGACCAATGGAGACCAATGGAGACCAATGGAGACCAATGGAGACCAATGAATATCTGCTAGGTTCTAGCAGTCACCTGTCTGAGTCTAGTACTGGGGCGCAGGCAGCACACCCTCCTATGAGGCTGATGGAGGACATGTGCAGAGGCGTGTCACACCTGCTGTGCAGCCTGCATCCGAGAATGTAGCGAGGTGGTCGAGATAGATGGCACAGAGACCGGTCAGTTGCTTTAAGAAAACTTTATGCTTCCCAAGTCAGCTTAGGAGGAGAGGTCTCCAAGAAAAAACGCTTCCCTTTTTAAGGACTTCTGCCATCCATCTACATACAATTCTCCAACAACTCTCTCAGACTTCTCACCCTCCTGGCTGGTGGTTTAATCTCTGGCCCCAGAATCGGGGAGAAACAGCAGGGGGAACAGGAAGAAGCATCTAGCCGTAGGGGGTGTCAAAGTCATGGTGTTTCAGTGAACGAGCCCTTATCTGAGCCCTATCAAGAGCTTTATAGCACTGAATTGTTTTCAGTAAACATTATCTCACAGCTGCCTGCTCCCAGGCCGAAGGGGAAGTGGGTTTCTGCTCAAGGTCTGGTGTCCCCACAGAGGCGATGTTACTAAATGTGGGTGCTACTCTGTGGAGATGTGAGCCTCCTCATGGCTCAGGTTAGCCACAAGACGGACATGAAAAGACTATTTGCATCTGATTTCTACAAGTACATTTTCACAGTGCTTTTTAGTATGAAATAAATTTAGCATAGAAATATACACCTAAAACATGAACCACTCAGTTAAAAAGTGCTTTAAAACTGTCACATGCTTGTTAATGTGGTATAATTGGCATGCTGTGACTTAAGGTGCCAGACATAAGTCACCTCCTTTCTGGGAATCACTCGTGAGTCTTCAAGCATGTACAAACAGTATGATGAGTGGAATTGTGTTTAGCGTGCTTTCTAAGCAGATAAGCACTCTTCTGGACTAGCCAGCTGGCCGTTTTCATGACTTTTAAAGGAAATGGAGAAGAAGATGAGAATCCTGAAAGAAAGCACTGACGAGCTACGCAAGGAGGTACTACAGAAGAGACTGGAGATCAAAAGCCTCCGGGAAGACGTGGCGTCCAAGCAGAAGCAGCTGGTAAAGGAGCAGAAGGAGCTGGAAGAGCTACGGGAGTGCCAGGTTGGCCTGAAGGTAGGCCGTGCACGATCCGCAGGTGTTCAGACATTGGGCCAGTGTGGGCATGAAACGCGTGAGCATAAGAGCCGTCACACTGATTGGAAGGTTGCACACCATGAAGGATTCTGCCGAGGGCAACCTCAGTTCTGGACATCTGCAAAGGGAAAGAGGGTCTTTGATGGGAAATCAAGTGAAAACTTGATAGATGGGAAATCAAGTGAAAAGTTGATGATAACCTGAAGGCCTCCCCTTGTAAGAAAGTGAGCGTTCAGTCCTCTCGTGGTCTCTGTATTGGCTTGTCCTTGCGTGCAGGATTCCATTCTTCCTTTTACTGGAAAAGTGACAAGAAGCCTATACTAGTGTTGTAGGAAATAATGAATGGAAAATAATTTCATTTTGAAAAACATATTGTAAATCTCAACAACCTAGGGTTATTTAAGGGACAGCTCCCAAAATTCCCTGACCTAGAAATGTTTGTGATTTACCCTGGCCCTTCCCCTGAGTCCTCACAGTGGCACTCACTGCACACAGGACTTACTGGGGAAATAGGATCCAAGGTCCTTCTCCAAGATCCCACGCAGCTTAGGCTTCCGCCCATCGCCTGCATGAGTCTCCTCCAAGGGTTTGGACCTAAGGTAGCAGTTGTGACTGTTGTACTTGAAGAGGAGCTCCCGGATCGCCAAGCTTCGGCCCTAGAAAGCCTAGGTCTGCTCCAGGATTTAGCAAGATCCTGCAGAGAAGCTCCCCACCCTATCTTTGCAGTGCTGTGTTTAACTTCCGCACTCAAACGTGGTTCCAGACCTCAAAATCTAGTGAACGCCATAGATCTCTCTCATCACCCCTAATGCCATGCCTAAACAGAATGGTTCACGAATTCACACAGCTGGCAGATCATAAGTGTCTACAGGTTTAGCTTCTGACTCTGGCCCTGCGTGTATGAGCTGTGCAACTCCGGGCAGTATTTTCTCTGTGTCCTGTCAGTCACAGGCAGGGCTCTCCAAAAGCAGCATCTCAGGCAGTTAATGCCGGAGAAGCCTACAGGGCTCTGAGGGAACTCAGGGGAGCTAGGGAAGAAGGCAGACTGGATAAGGCTCTGCTGTAGAACTCTAGTCTCAGCCTGGCCTCAGAGGGAACCCTTGATCTTGAGTTGAATCACAGAGGCTATTCTCAGCTAGAGAACGTGGTGTATTATCTCACTGCGTGAGCTAGCCCTGATTACAGCCTCCTCCATGCTTCCTCCCACTTTCCCACCCCATGGAAAAGGGGTGAGACTCTTAGCAGAGCTCCCACAATAGTTGTCCTAGTCTGCCATCTTCTTTTTGAGATAACGACAAGCGTAATGACCATATAACGCCAGTGTGACGATTGGGAGAAATACAGGGCAGACGGTAAGAGTTCTGCAAAACGTACTTGTTCTCTCTTTTACTTTTCTTATTTGACTGCGTAACTTACCATGGTTATATTTCTTTTCTAGGATGATGTGGTCCACCATCAGACTATTCCTGTACAAATTTCAAAGGATATAGAAAAAATGACACGCAAAAAAATGTATGCTTTAATATTTTTATTCTGAATCCCTCCTAGGCCACCTTCCCCCCGAATAATGTGTGTGTGTGTTATAATTTTTAGAAATTATCATCTTGGGACTATCTGCCTGTGGTGTCACCTGGGCTCTCTGTATTGGGTACTTTACAAGGAATTAACACATCAAATGATAATCATATTTCTGTGGAGACCTTCAGCAACTTCTTCAGGGCTGGAGATTAACCATGGGAGCTTAGAATGCCATGGTCCAGAAGGATGCTCAGGCAGCCAGTAGCCTAAAAGACAGCGACTCCTCACTGGGCACCTCTCCACCCTAAGACATTCAGAATAGATTTGGATGTGAGGACCACTGAGAAATTCTCAGGATTTCAGTGATCAAAAAGAAAATTAAAGGTTAGTGTATCAAACTTTGTTGTCAGCCACCTTCTGACAAATAATGACAGAGGCTTCTTATTAATTATGAAAGCTCTGCCTTAACTTAGCTAGTTCCATTAGCTCTTAAAACTTAAATTAACCCATTTATATTAGTCTATGTTTTGCCTTGTAGCTTTTTACCTTTTTTCATTCTGTATGTCTGACCCCCTCATGTCTTGTCTTGGTGTCTGATACATGCCTGGATTCATCTCTTACTTTCTTTCTCTCTGCCTGGAAGTCCCGCCTACACCTCCTGGCTAGCTATTGATGCTTCAGCTCTTTATTATAAACCAATAAAGTAATATATCTTCACACAGTGTACAAACAACCCACAGCATTTAATATAGATTAATATGCATGGGTTAACTTAAGTTATAAGAGCTAGCTGAAACAAGCTTCCATAATTAATAGAAGTCTGTGTTATTGTTTGGGAGCTGGCTGGTGGAACAAAGAAGGACTCATTATAGGTTAGTGCATATAAAAATATTCTAGGGAAATAATATGATTGCAGTGGTAAACAGTCTTAAAATAATACCAAAAAAAATGGAGCAGTATGATTCTAAAACCCAAGATCACCAGAAGTGAAGTTAAGAAAGTCAGACCTGGTCCAGGAAACTAGTGAGGATTACAATAGAAGCTATGGGTGACAGAGATTGGTATCTGAGGAGGAAAGAGAATGGGCAGATGCCTGTCCTCAGGGGCATTCTGGGAAGTTATCCCATATCCTAGTTTCATTTTATTTTATGTGATAAAACACCCTGGTAGAAAACAATGTAGGAAAGAAAGAAATTTATTTCAGCCTACAATTCTAGGTGACAGTCTGTCATTACATGGCAGTCAAGGCAGCAGCTAATCACAAGGCATCCAGAGTGAAGAGCGGAGAAACAGGAATGCCTGTGATCTTACTTGCTTGTCCGCAGCTCCATTTCCTCCCTCCAGACAGCTGGGGGCCTTCACGCCTAAGGGATGGCGCCATTCACAGTGGACTGTGTCTTCCCACATCAATTTACTTAATGATGACAATCTCCCACAGACATGCCTGTGGGCCATGACCCCCTTAGGGGTCACATATCCTGCATACCAGATACTTACATTATGATTCATAACAGCAAAATTACAGTCATAAAGTAGCATTGAGATCATTTTCTGATTGCGGGGTCACACATCACGAAGAACTACAGTAAAGGGTTGAGAGTCACTGCCATAGGCCAATCCAGTGTAACACTTCCCCATTGAGACGCTCATCTCGAGTGGCCCAAGTCGATGAAGGAAGCTAAGCACCACACTCCAAGTCCCTCTCGTCTTTGACCTTCACATACTTCTAAGATCAGTAAACTTATGACAAGGGCGTTTTTGCCTGACAGTAGGTAGAGACAGCATGAACCAAACAAGCCCTCCTACTTCTGTCTGTGTGTGTCCCTACAGAGAGATGGAAAAGAAGAATATTGTCTTGGAACATGAAGTCAAAGAGCTAAACGAGTCTCTGAAAAAGCTTGAGAACAAAGTCAATGCAGTGGTGGAGGAGAAGGACGACGTGATGAAGGAGGTGGAGGGCAAACGCGCCCTTCTGGAAGTGAAAGAACGCGAGCACAGCCAGCTGCTTAAGCTGCTGGAGCTAACCAAAGAGAGCGAAGCTTCCTCCCTGGCTGAGAGGTCACTCCTGTCTCTGTCATCCTCTCTTTAACCATGTCCTGCCGTCGGGATTGTTAACATGCGACACAATAGCAAGCTGTAGAATTTTAAATCAACCTTCGCCATTAATTAACTGTACCATCAAAACATTTGAAGTACCCTCTTCTGCTCTTTCATCACAATTTTCCTCAATTCTTTGGCTCCAAATTTAAGAATAAATCCATTATTTGCTGTAAGTTGTGGGCAGTTATATCACTGGAAGGTGGGTGCTGTAGAATCCAGAGACTTGCCAACCAACGAGTAGTACTTCTGACTTAATCCCCACCTTTTCTGAATGAGGGAGATCTCACAGTGTGATCCCACACTGGAGCATGGTGTGATCCCACACTTCTTAGTTTGTGTATGTGTGGGGGTAGATTGTGTATACACATGTATTCGCTGGAGTGTAGGAACCAGAGGTCACAACCTCTGTCATCCACCTTGTCTTTTGAGGCGGTCTCTCATTGGGACCTTAGACTGCCCGAATAGACTATACTGACTGGCTAGTGAGCTCCAGGAAACTGGCTGTCTTCACCTTCCCACACTGGGATTACAAGTAGGTTCTACCACTCACAGCTAGTTACATGGATATAGGGCCTCAACCCCTGTGTTTGTGAGGCAGGCCCTTTACCGACTACAGAATCTCCCTAGACCCTGACTTTTCTTAAGTGCCGAAGTCTGAACTCAGGGCAAACACTCTACTACTGAACTTTACTCCCAGCCCTACCTCTTATACTTAAGTAAAATTTCAAAGAAACGTAAGACCTGTGTCTCCCCAGCCTAACATTACATTTGGGGAGTTTATAGGATTATATTTCTAAATGGTACCAATACACAAAACTGGCTGCTTTGGGCATTGTTTATGAGTTATGGTTGTGATGTAAGAAAAGTTCTGTGTATATCCTTGAGTTTGAGTGTGTGGTCTTTGGTAAGCTTAGAAAACTGTGTAAGACAGTGGATGACATCCCTTTCATCTTTGCCCTTGACCTGGACAGAGGGATCTTGGATCTCAATCTCCGAAACTGTCTCATTGACAAGCAGAACTATCATGATGAACTTTCTCGTAAGCAAAGGGAGAAAGAGCGAGACTTTCGCACCCTGAAGAAGACAGAGCTGCTCCTGAAGGTGTCCCTGGATGCGCTCACTCAGACACAAGCGCTGAACCAAAGACTGCTACTCGAGGTGGGTGTGAAAAATACCACCCCAGTTTTTAAGCTCAGGGCTCTCCTTCAAAAAGCATTAGGATTTTGCTATCAATAGAAAAAAGAAGAAAAAGGTAACAGTTGGATGGCAATTTGAGGATGCATCACCCTGTTAGATTGCCAGTAGCCCTGTAATGTTTTCTAGCCTGAGACTAGCCAAATGCTTTGTTTTGATTGGACAGGGTAGTTTTGATTGGGAAGGGCCTAGACTCTAGGCCTTTCAGTACAGAATACACTATACAGTATACAGAGGGGTCAGCATACAGTAGGACTAAGCTAGTCTTACCAGTTTAAAGAGTCAGATCTTGCAGTTATGGAACAGATCGAATTGCATAAATTTCTGTGGTCAGTTGGTCATCTGGTCAACGAGCCAAAGGTTACCCAGAACCAAAGGTGGGGTAATAGCCAATGGTAGCCTAGAACCCAAGGTTGGACTGCCTGGATAGCTTTGTGCGTTGTAGGAAGTGGCCTCTAGTTAAAGGATGCTTGAAATTACCAGGGTATCCCGGCCTGTCTCTGCTCCCTGTATGCCCTACTCCGTGTCTGGGTGGCTGGTGGCTGCCTGGCTGGCTGGTCCAGGGCATCTCACTCGTTCCCTCATCCTCTCTTCCTTGTCTGGAACCTAGATTCCTCCTCCTCATCTCTCAGCCTACCCGCCCTGCCTATCCCTCTACTGCCTAGCTATTAGCCATTTGGCTTTTATTAAACTAATCATGTGCCTTAGGTAGGCAAGCACAAGCAACAACGTATCTTTCTATAATTAAACAAATGTGACATACCTTCACATAGTTAAAGTAATATTCCACAACACTTTTCTTTCCCATGCTGGAAGTTTAGAGGCTCTTGCCTCCAGAATTTTTAAATTTTGCAATGATAGTCTCACAAGTACATCTTCTATCTTTGCTCAAGTGGGGACTCGGTAGATTCTAATGTCACTCAGTCTTTGATTTTATCCACTCCATTTTCTCTGTTCTGCCATTCCCAGGGCCCTATTATGCCATTCCCAGGGCCTTTTGAAAGAGTTCTCCAATTTCCTTTATTTCTTTTGCATTCATTTTGTCATTTTGATTTGCTCAAGGTCAATCACCTCAACTTTCCCTTCTGGCGCTCGTCTTTCAAACGGGACTTTCGCATGAACGCTCTTTGCTCCTGAGATACTCTCTGTTGTTGTTTCCAGAACTTGGGATTGAAGTCTGGGCCCCACACACGCTAGACAGCATGCTTTACATGCTGAGCTATAACCTCTGCCCCGATGGTTTCTTTGCCATGGTGTTTTGTTTGTTTGTTTGGTTGGTTGGTTTGTTGAGGCAGAGTTCCACTACGAAGTCAGACCTGGTCTCAGACTAGTGATGCTCCTGTCCACGTCCAGAGTTCAGGAATCGCAAGATCCGCCAGCGCGGCCCTCAGGCTCTGTGTCTGTAGCATTACCGAGTGTCTTTCCTGTCTTCCCTTATCTCACAGCTCCTTCTTCCCACATGGGGTTTCTTTTCTTCAAATCCCCTTTTCTGGATTTTGTTGCTTGTGTTTTTGTTTTGTTTTTGTTTTTTCATTTAGTTTGTCTTGTCTCTTTCTCATTGGAAACTGCCCTCCAATAAATTCCAGTCCTTGGCTCTCTGCTTGTATTTCAGAGCAGAGCACAGAAAAGCTAACTGGGAGGTGTCTCCACTGCTGAGGCTTTTATGACATGGATCTGATTATACCCAAAACTAAGTGGGGCTTGCAGTGGAAGACACAAATTGCTGGGTTTTTAAAAATTGAAAACTATTATATAACGACACAATTACCTGATAAACTCAACACATAGCACCCACAAGATATAAAACTCAGAGAAATGTAAATGCATTTGATCTTTTCTCACTGATTTAAAGCTCCTTCACTATGGTGTCTGCTGTGCCCAAATTCTGAACCCCAAAATCACCAAGAGGCCATTTCGATGCAAAAGCAAAGAGTCTTTTATTGTAGTTGTTTAATGAGCTAGCCCCCATTAACCGAGGTGGATGGCTGGAGAAAGACCCAGAGAAACCGGAGGCGAAGATCTTAAAGGTCAGCGTAAGGGGAGTGTTTAGGGGTATGCAACAGTCTCAGGATTGGTGTGCTTCCAGGCTTGGGTGACCAATGTGTTGATTGGTCAACTGGTTGTTATGGCCCATAGGCCCTCCCAGGGCAGTTGCTATGCTCGGCATGTCATTATTGTGCACTTGTCTGTAAAGCACACCCAGAGCCATAAAGCACAGCCCCGCCAGCTAATGTTTGACTGGTTCCTTGCCACGAGGAGGGCATCTGACCTCCTAGTGACCAGGAAGGGAGGGGCAAGGTCAGGCAAGCACATGTTAGCTGCTAAAACGGGGGTCTGGTCACTTCAGTGTCAGTAACAGGTACGCTCTTCTCTGGCCTGGTGACCTACTCTGCTGTCCACCGCCCACAGCTGGGAAAGAGAGAGGAGCATAGGGCCCAACGGGATGTTTCATGCTTCCATTCAATCCAGAAAGGAGAGTAAAAGGTGTAAGGGGTGAACATGAAACCAGCTAGTCCTTAGACTTTATTTCCCCACAGAGACAGTTATCTGATTTCCCTGTGGTTTGTGTCTTCTTCTCTCTTTCCCTTTCCTTTTTTTTTTTTTTTGTTGTTGTTGTTTGTTTTTGTTTTTCCAAGTCAAGGTTTCTCTGTAACAGCCCAGGCTGCCCTGGCACTCTCTTTGTAGACCAGGCTGGCCTCAATCTCACAGAGCTTCTCCTGCCTCTGCCTCCTATTGGTTGGATTAAGGGTGTGCACCACCACGCTCCATCCCTACGGTGTCTTATTGTATTGAAAGACTCCCACAAATTCAAGACAGTCTCAAAAAAGCTGGGAAAGTTTCAGATAAATGTCCAACCATTACACTGCATGCCAAGGTTCTCTGGTCTCAACCAAGATGTTTACTACCAGAGAATAATGTCTAACATCCTAACTTTTACAGCAGTTAAGGCTGGTTTATCATGCATTGAAAATATCTGGAAAACATTGTCCAGCCATTAACAACACCTTCTAGGGAGCAGCATTGGCTTTGAAGGGCAGGAAGGGAGGATCATTTTTTAAAATTATTTTACACATGTCTATTGTTTGTCTATGATGAACATGTTTTTAAAACATAAAATAAAATGAAAACAAATCTAGGAATTAAATATATACAATCTTATAAAACTTGATGACATGTACAATTTGGGGCTCAAAATTAATCAGAAGTACCTTAAGACATTTTCTATTCCATAATTAGAACTTTGGCAGACATTTTTTGCCCCTTCAGTGAAGACTTCAGCATGGCTCAGGCATGTTTCCACTGGGACTTCAGCATGGCTCAGGCATGTTTCCATTGGTGACTTCAGCATGGCTCTAACGTGTTTCCATTGGTGACTTCAGCATGGCTCTAACATGTTTCCATTGGTGACTTCAGCATGGCTCAGGCATGGCTCAGGCATGTTTCCATTGGTGACTTCAGCATGGCTCAGGCATGTTTCCACTGGGACTTCAGCATGGCTCTAACATGTTTCCACTGGGACTTCAGCATGGCTCAGGCATGTTTCCATTGGTGACTTCAGCGTGGCTCAGGCATGTTTCCACTAGTTACATTAAGTAATTTCATATCACTAAAAGTCCAGAATTCTTTTATCTCTCTTTTGGTCACTCTTATTACATTTCTTCTCAATGGTCACAAGATGGTCATCCCATAAGAAAGTGACCACTAGCTTCACTGGCTTTGTCTTCTTTTTAATAGGATATTTTTATTACTTCTCTGAGGTTGCATGCAATGTTTTTTTATCATATTCACTCCCGCTCTTCCCCCCAACTCCCCTCATCCTCCTTCCTCCTCCCTCTACTCTGTGTCCTGTGAGTTCATCTTTTAGAAGTCACTGTCTTGAGGCAGACACTCTGGTCCTCCAGCATTTACAACCTTTCTGGCCCCCACCTCAGCTGCAGAGTTGGGTTGTAGATGCATTGTCCGGGGCTGGGCACTCCTCGCTCACTCTCCGCGTTCTGACCGTACTGTCTCTGTCTGCTGTTGAAAGAGCCTCTTGACGAGGATGAGAGCTGCAGCTCTCTGTGGCTGTGACGGTGAGTATTGAGTGATTTAGGAAAGCTGCGGCAGTAGGTTTCTGTGAGGTTCCATGAGCTCATCAGTCTTGAGTAGTCATGTGTTTATAACACCAGGCATGAATCCCCTCCCATTGAGGGTTTAAGTCCAATCAGGTGGCTACAACTACACCCCTAGGATATAAATGCCACTATTTCACATTTCAGAATAGCTTGACAATCAGGTCATTGTGATTCAAAGCATTATAGCTGGATAAGACTATTGATTGGTTTTGTCCCTTGGCAACTTCTACAGCTCCCTTTGCTACTATGAGAGCCATTCCCCAGGGAGGAGGCTCCCAGGTCAGGTCCAGCTCAATTCCTCCAAGCCCTGTGTCTGAAGTGTGTGGGGTCTTCAGCAATAAGGTCTTACCCTCTTTTCCCAAAAAGCAGCCAAGGCAACCACAATAACATCTAATGTTTCTGTGGGAGTCTCTCAAGTTCCTCTGACCAGCAACTCAAAAGGTTTCCCATGTCTGACCTGGGGTTTTACTGGATAGTCTGTGATTTGCACTCAGTTTTGGAGCTACTGTATGATTCCTCATCAAACACTTTCCCCCAAAGTATTTTAACACAGGACGAAAGGATAAACTAACAGAGCAAAAATGTGGGTTTCAACAAAAAGATTAAGAAACTTTTAAGTAATAATTCCCATTTGCTCATCAAACTGTCACATTTAAACAGCAAGTTATTCTCATGGTTAACTAATAACTGCTTTTCTTTGGTCTATAGGATTTCATAAATGAGTGTAGACTTGATAATCATGATTACTCTCCCATAAATAGTCAAAACATTTGGAGGTTCCTGACTGCACTAATGAGGCCACAGGGTGTGGTGGTCAGATGGTGTGGTGCCTGCCTGGATTTGAGCCTGCACCACAGAGCCACGCTCCCACACAGCTGCACGCCTCATGGCATTGGTGAGGAATAAGTAAGAGAACGTCTCTTAGCCCCACACCACTGAAACATGGTTAGGTGCTGCTCAAAAAGTGTTAGGCATTAACATTTACTTATAAAGGATAAAACATTTTTAGCTAATGGACTGTGTATTTCTGGTAGATCTTCACATTTTACTTCACATTGGATATGTATATATATATATATATATATATATATATATATATATATATATATATATATCCAGAGTAGGAAATTCCGGTAGGATTGGGAATCAAGGTTAGTCTTCCAGTTTCAAAAAGTATGTAATGGGATTGAGTGTATGGTATTGTTCATTGTTTTCATTATAGCGCCGATTTTAAATTCTGACTTCCAGATGGAAGCTATCCCTAAAGATGACCTTCTGTTGCCTGAAAGAAGAAGAGACCTCCACAAGGAAGTGGAATTAGCTAAGAGGAATCTGGCTCAGCAGGTTAACTTCACACTCTTTACACTTCTGTCTCAGAATGGAGCTCAAGGTTGTGTTTTTGAAATGCTCCACCAAAGCACATCCAAGAGACAGTAGGGGATGGGAAGCGGGTGGGCAGCTGGGAAGGCAGATACTATCAAATGATAGCGTGTGTATGTAAATGCTAAGGTGAAACCCATTCGTGTGTACAGTAATGTGAGCAAATGATGTGCATTAACTTTTAAATGAAGTGTGTCGCTAAAGCACCACCGTGCTTACAATGGGCCTATTTCTTCTTTATGGGAGAAGTTTACTGAGGATTGAATGGGGTGTCTCAAACATGCTAGCCAAGTGGTCCAGCATTACTGAATGCACACACACCATCCTCATCTAGCCAAGTGGTCTACACACACACACACACACACACTCACACACACTCACACACACTCACATACACTCACACACACACTCACACACATACTGTCCTCATCTTAAAGCTCACTCCCCACTTTTTTTTCTCTTCCTTTTTTTAAAATTTAAGTTAGAAACAATTAGTTTCACAGGTCAATCCCAGCTCCCTCTCCTCCCCCTCTTTCCCTGCCCTCCCCAACAGTCTCCACTCTGACCCCCAGGGAGGGTGAGGCCCCCCATGGTGGATCTCCAAAGTCTGTCATTTCATCCATGGCAGGGCTCAGGCCCTCCCACAAGCATCCAGGGTGAGAGAGCATCCCATATTTGTGGGATGGGCACTCAAAGTCTATTTGTATCCCAGGGATAAATACTACCCAAGGCCCCATAGATTACCTAGGTCTCCTCACTGATACCCACATTCAGGGGGTCTGGGTCAGTCCCATGCTTTCCATACAGCCATCAATCTGGGGTCCAAGAGCTCCCCCTTGTTCAGGTGGGTTAACACATTCCCCACTTTTTTTCTGAGAAAAAAAATACATGTTTGAAAATGACAGGCTATTTGGATTTTTCAAATAAAAGGTCTACTGATTGCATTAAAAGTCAACTTGTTGTTTCATCAATGTCTATTTTTAAATTTCAAACTTCTGTTCAAACTCCTGCTGAATATTTAAGTATTTTAAGGCATGTTTTTCAACCTCTTCTGTCACTAAAAGACACACTAAGGAACAGGAGACCATGCTAACCCACTAGTTTGCATACTTCATAAAATGAAGGAAAAGCTGCAGCGGAGACTGGGTGACCCTGCTCCCTGTGACAGCATGGAAGGGGGGTGGTGCTATATGCTAGCCTCACAGTACTCCTTCAGAAGGCGAATTACCACCCTGTGCTTTCCCAAAGAAAATCCTGTCAGAAGCGGAGGCCAGGCTAGTGGAGCAGCAGATTGCAGAAGAAAACAAACTTCTAAAGGAGCAGGAGACGATGCGAGACCTGGTGTTCAACCTGGGGCGAATGACGCAGATCAAAATTGATGAACGGGAACAGAAGTCTAAGGATTTCATGAAAGCCCAGGTAACTGCTTTGCTACCAGCATTAACTGCCCGTTAACTGCCACAAGAGTTCAGGGGGCCTTGTTCCATGCGTCATTAGTCAGAAAGAGAGCACTCTAAATTTCCTTCAAATTCAGTAACTATACTTTTTTCCTGAAGGACACTGAGTAATACACTGAGAAAAGAAAAACAACAGCAACATCAAAAAGCCAACCTCAGGGTTTAGTTTTCAGCAGTCAGCAGGCTAGAGCTTAAAAAACCAATCACAATGGCCAGGGGTCTGATCAGACAGCACTCTGAACAAGGATGAAGAAGACGTCTACAGTGGCCAGGGCTGCCGGGTGCAGAAGCCGCAGAGAGGATCTGCGAGTCTCAGAGCCACAGGTTGTACTGTGACGTGCCTTGGGACAACTTATGAGCAGAGAGTGTGAAAAGTCATCAGATGAGCACACAGGTTGCTCTCAGTGACTGATTCCCCCGACTCCTACAAAGGGCCACAAGCAACATCAGAAAACAAAACTCTCCTGCAGTAGGAGCTCCGTTTAACATTGGAATCAGTTAGTCCACAGAAGGACTGTGTCTGATTCTTTGTTAAAAATAAATAAAGCCTGGGGAAACAGTTCAAAGCCACAGTGCCTGCCCGTGAGAGCTTTGATCTCTTGCCAAACAAGCAATAAAAGTGTTCAGTATGGCGTGCAATCAAGAGGGGACAGTGGGTTAGAGTTTAGCCTGCATGACACGGTGATGCTGTGTCTCAAAAATTAATACTAATAAATTTTAAAGACTATGATATAAACTAAAGTAGAACTAAGTGTAATCTTTGTTCTCATTCTGAGTGCTAACATGGGGGTGAGATATTTTCTTCTCATTCCCCAGAAGGAACACACACTTAAGCAGTATTGATGGGCATTGGTGTGAAATTAGATTCTCTGGCAAAGACAGGAGGGGACAGTTATAACCACACAGACCCCAACAATTAGCCTACTCCTCAAATACCTCTTCCACTGTTTAATTAGGCAGTTCATACCTGAGAAGTGAGAAGTCAGACATGGCGGCCAGAGCGCGGGGAGAAGGGACGGCAGAGAGAGGCAAGAGCAGACGGAGACTTTCACTCAAGCCGCCTTCAACTGTTTTATTGCAGACCATTGGGTTTCTAGAAAACAGATGAGGAATGGCATGGTCTCTCAGGAATAGCAGCCCTGGGATCACTGGGTTGCAGAAAAAGATTAGGAACAGCATAGGCTCTAAGGAATCCATTGTGCTGTGGCACCACCAGGTCAAATGGTTTTGCTCTCCTTGCCCCAACAGAGGGTTACTGAAACTGCCTGCCCCCAAATGCTACCAGCAGAGACTGTCTCCCAATGCTTCCTATCCCAGAGAAAGGGCCCACTAGGCACTGTCTATCCACAGAGTATCACTGACACATCCTGCACTTGATATTTTATATTTTAAGATTTTTAAAGGTATAACTGATTTTTAAAATATATTTGTATTACATATATTTCTATATCTCTACTTAGTTTATATATTTATAAAGTCTCAACATGGTGCCTGTAGTAAAGGAAAATACATCCACCAAACACAAGAGATGAAACTGAACTTTAAAACCATTGCTTCCGTCTCACCAATGCCATAGAGGTTTTAGGTCATGACATTTGTCAGAACTTCCTGTAAGTCTTCCTCATGGAGCTGTGTAAACACGTGCTCACCAGGCTGGGCAGTGCCGGCTACAGTCACTCTTCTCTCAGAAGGCCCCCAGCCCCACCCTGTCTGTGAGGCTCCTTTGTCCTCTAGTTCTTCCTGAGCCTTGAGTAACCTCTGTCCTGGTTGCTGGTAGTCACTCTCGGGTTCGCCTGTCCTCATCTTTCCAACCCTGCTGCAGGCCAGGAAGGGTTAACGGGGAGGAATGGAGTTCAGCGGGAATGCCGAATGCGGTTTGTTTTGCTGTTGTTCCTGTTGATTTGGGGTTTTCGAGGTATGGTCTTACTGTGTATCACAGGCTGATCCTGAATTCTTTTCAATCCTGCTGCCTCAGTTTCCCAAGCCTTGGGATTGCAGACATGAACCACCACACTCAGATCTCCAGGTGTCTCTCTGTATTTCACACATAATTTTTACCTTGCAGCAGAAACATAGCAATGTCATTAAGGAAATCAAAGCTAAGGACCTTGAAATCAGACTGTACAAGAAGAAAAAGCATGAAATTCACCGGAGGTAAAGGAATTTGGTCATGACTTATCTACTTGATTGGGGGGAAGGTATCGTTTAGTCTTCAATTTTTCAAACCATGTTTCCACAGACTCAAAGAATTCGCCCAACTGTATGACACCATTAGAAATGAAAGAAACAAGTTTGTTAACCTCCTTCACAAAGCTCATCAGAAAGTGAATGAAATAAGAGAAAGGCACAAAATGTCGCTAAATGAACTGGAGATTTTAAGAAACAGCGCTGTCTCTCAGGAAAGGTAAGAGCCACGCAGCCAGCGGCCTCCCAAAGCCTGTGCCCGTGTCACTCCAGAGGGTGCCGGTGCTCTCGGAAGATGGCAGGCTTTCAGAGACCTTGCTTCTCAGGGAACAGCACTGGCACCTGGGCACACTTCTAGTTTTCTATCTAACAAACAGTCACTTGTTTCAATGGATGCAAAAACTCTACATAAAACTATGTTTCCTATGATGATCTGCTGGCGTTCATTCACTCAATTAAAAGTATAAATCTGATACCCTGCATTTGAAGTTAGCGACAAATGACCTTTAGGTGTGTCCCCGGTTGTAGAGTTAAAGCCTACAATGTGTGGGTAGAAGGCTAGAGCAGACTTGCTAAGAGCAACACTCTCTAGACTAAACTCCCAGACCTGGCAGTTACTGCCAGCGGGCCACTGTCTTCTTTGAACTCTTTCCTGATACATAACCCTCGCCATCATTGTGTAGGACCTTTTGTTACTAAATGAGTCCGTCTATGTTGCAATCCCAGAAAGAACATTTACTGCGTGCCAAGATCTACTGGGTTCTTTCACTGGTTAGTTCCTGATCGCCTGAGACTGCATAAGTGCATTTTTCTGTTGGCTTTGGCTGCCGTTGACTTTGGGAGCGTTAATACCAAATGCACTGATTTGAAAGGCAGGGTTGGAAATAGAGATTTCCTGGTCACACTCTTACCTGAAAAGAAATTAAAATGCGGCATCCAGGCTGTGCTTTCATCCAGCCTGACCCATGCTCCCAGTCTGAGACCTGATAGGCACTGTAGCCGCATGTCTATCCTCAGAGCAGCAAAGGACCCTTTCACAATGTCACAATGACAGTACCCTCATGTGGCTGGAGGGAGGATTCCACCACAGAGGAGTCAACACGAGGTCCTGAAAGCACTGTGTCATGTCAGAAGACACGGTTTTTAGAATTGCTTTTCAGACATCTTCAGTATTTCTGAAGAAAATAACGATCTTCCCCACTGTGCCTTATTTTTAAAGAAAGCTGCAAAACTCCATGCTGAAGCATTCCAACAACGTGACCATCAGGGAGAGCATGCAGAACGACGTGTGCAAGGTCACCACGAAGCTCCAGGACATGAAGGAGAAGAAGGAGGCCCAGCTGAGCAGCATGGACAGGCTGGCCAGCATGATCTCCATGATCGAGGAGGAGATGGTCCAGCTGCGCAAGAAGTACGAGAAGGCCGTTCAGCGGAGAAACGAGAGGTGCGGGCCCCGGGCAGCTTGGGCCACGGGCGGCTGGCGCCACAGGCGGCTCGCGCGCCACCGAGGCACAGCCACTTTCTTTACTCTTGGGCGGGGAGCTGTGCGTGGAAACAAGACAGGCTGTCCGTGGGATGAAAACACAAGGAGGGCCTGGGACATTGGAAGGTCAGAGTCTCTGGGGCACCAGGACAGCAGCTCTCAACCTTCCCAGTGCTGTGTGACCCGTTCGTACAGCTCCTCATGTGAGCTGGCCTCCAACCAAAATCATAATTTGTGGCTGCTTCATAACTGTAATTCTGCTACTGTTATGGGTCATACTGCAAGTATCTGATATTTGATACTCAGGATATCTGATATGCGACCCCTCAAAGGGGTCATGACTCACGGGTTGAAAGCCACTGCCCAGGACAACCCTGAATTCCTCCTGCATCACCTGATACAGTCAGTCTCTGTAACATCTGCCCACGTTGGCAGGGCCTAGCAGCCCGTTCTCCTAGTTCATGCAGGGCCTAGCAGCCCATCCTCCTAGTTTATTCAGGGCCTAGCAGCCCGTTCTCCTAGTTTATGCAGGGCCTAGCAGCCCGTTCTCCTAGTTCATGCAGGGCCTAGCAGCCCGTTCTCCTAGGTCATGTTCCCCCTAAGGAAGGAAGGCCGAGAAGAGCGGCATGTTTCTTGTAGACATTGAGCATGTCTGTAACAGATTACTCTCCTAACGGCCCCGCCCACCGCAGCTGCTTGTGTTATGAGACACTGGTAGGTGAGAGTTTAGAAAGAACTCAGGTTTCATGAAATTTGTGTGGTGTCTCTTGTAAAGCCTTGGAATGCTAGCCACAGAGGGCACAGGCTGGCAAAGCCTTGCTGCTGGCTTGTTTTTTTCTTATAAAGGAAAACATTTAATTGGGGTGGCTCACATTTTCAGGGGTCTGGTTCATTGTCGTCATGGTGGGACATGGTGGCGTTCAGGCGGACGTGGTGCTGGAGCAGTAGCCGAGTGTCCTACATCTTGGCTCGCAGGCTGCTGCTGGCTTTTGTCGTCAAGGCAATGTGATAAGCAGAAAAACCAATGAGGCAGATGGAGAGCCGAGGTCCGCATGCGCACTGTTGGAGGGAAGGGAACTTAGGAAAATTAAAGGCAGCGGTTATGGTAGACATCCGGAAGGAACGGGTTGCAATAGATACACAGAATTGGAACGGAAGATCCTCAGGGTCCTTGACAAACATTTTCCAAGGGCTAATGAGTGTTCATTCCGGGTTAAAACAAAAACAGAAAACAAAACAAAACAAAAAATCCTGGTTAGCTCCTGGCACAAGCCAAAGCTTATGGGCAAATAGAGTGTTCCCAGTCCCTGGTTAGAGCAGAGTTGATGGGGGGAAAGTCTCACTTTGTTTCTCTCCAGTGACTTCCTGTGGAGGAGAGGTATTTCCATTGCACCTGACAGCAAGGTTACAAAGGGCGGGTGGCTGGGGAGACCCCACAGAGACATTCACTTTTCAAAGAACCTTATGGTCCTGGCAACTCACTCCAGAGTCACCTTCCAGGCCCGTTGCCTGGGGCTTCTGCCTAGGCCTTTCTTGGCAAGTCTGGCCCCCAAAAAAGATGTGCAGAAAACCACACTTGGAATTTCCTTTTTCACATGTTGGGAGTGATCTCCACTACCCCCAGGGAAACCTTCAGGGCTTTATCCAGCCACTGTGGCCATCCTGCTGCCCAGCTGGCCTTAGAATGGGGATTCCAACACTCTCAGCGCCAGGAAAACCCGGTATGTGGTGCTTAACCAGCAGTCTATTGTAACGTGACACTGTCCTCTCAAATTCTGCTGTGTTGATGTATAATGTGAGCCCAAAGCCAGAGGGAACCACAGGAAGGAGGAGACAGAGGCCTCAGCACCCACTTAGACCCCTGCTCTGAATTTGACCACAGCGGTGTCCAGCTGATAGAGCGAGAGGAAGAAGTGTGCATTTTTTATGAAAAAATAAATATCCAAGAGAAGTTGAAACTCCATGGGGATGTTGAAATCCATGTCCTGGATGAAAAACTCCGATTCCTGAGACTGAAGATTGCCGAGAAGCAGAGGCAAATTTCTGTGACACAGAAAATACTGCCGACCAAGAGGGCCCTTGATGCGGACCTGGCCGTGCTGCAGATCCAGGTGGGTCAGCTGTGGGGCGCTCCCCCAGGCCCTGCTGCAGATCCAGGTGGGTCAGCTGTGGGGCGCTCCCCCAGGCCCCGCTGCAGATCCAGGTGGGTCAGCTGTGGGGCGCTCCCCCAGGCCCTGCTGCAGATCCAGGTGGGTCAGCTGTGGGGCGCTCCCCCAGGCCCCGCTGCAGATCCAGGTGGGTCAGCTGTGGGGCGCTCCCCCAGGCCCCGCTGCAGATCCAGGTGGGTCAGCTGTGGGGCGCTCCCCCAGGCCCCGCTGCAGATCCAGGTGGGTCAGCTGTGGGGCGCTCCCCCAGGCCCCACTGCAGATCCAGGTGGGTCAGCTGTGGGGCGCTCCCCCAGGCCCCGCTGCAGATCCAGGTGGGTCAGCTGTCGGGGCGCTCCCCCAGGCCCCACTGCAGATCCAGGTGGGTCAGCTGTAGGGCGCTCCCCCAGGCCCCGCTGCAGATCCAGGTGGGTCAGCTGTGGGGCGCTCCCCCAGGCCCCGCTGCAGATCCAGGTGGGTCAGCTGTCGGGGCGCTCCCCCAGGCCCCGCTGCAGATCCAGGTGGGTCAGCTGTGGGGCGCTCCCCCAGGCCCTGCTGCAGATCCAGGTGGGTCAGCTGTAGGGCGCTCCCCCAGGCCCCACTGGTCTCCTCCCCTTGCTGGTTTGCAGATGATGGGCTCCTGCATGGGAGCCAAGCTTCACCACTGCTGGTAACTACTGTGAGTTGTATGATGTTTAAAGATGACTTTGAACACTGACTGCTCCAGGATTGGGTTTTGGTAATCTGAGCTACACGGGTTTGTTTGTTTTTCTCTTATGAAGCATTGTCTATGTTTCTTGGAATCTGGGCCAACCCAGGACTTATCCCTAGTTCATCATTCCTGTAGTTCCGTCCAGGGAAATCGAGGCTCTCACTACCTGCAGCGTTATCCTGCCATTGATGTTGCTGGAGACCACCGAGATAGAACGCTTAGTCTCTCTGGCTTGTTGAAGCAGGGTCTTGCAGCCTTTGTGGTCTGATACCTCTGTATAGCCCAGGCGTTTCAGACTGATTGCAACCTCCCTGTCTCAGCCTGCTGAGTGCGGAGATGACAGGAAGTGCCGCCCGAGAGAGCCTGATGCTCAGTGGGAGAGTGACATACTTAGAACTGCTGCCTCTCAGTCTGCGGGCCACATACACACAGATTCTTCACAGACCTCTGTGGTCTCCAATAGCAAAGACTAAAATGTGACTAGAACCTTGCTTTCTTCAAATGCAATGACACTTTTATGAACTAAGAAAATGGACCAGCATCTTTGTGACATACACTTTTCCCACTGACTCAGGATTGCAGGAACAAATTCTACCCTGTATTCTAAATTCACCCTTGCTTTGGGATTTTCTTCTAGTTATTAAATTAAGGTGTATTCAGTTAATTAAGGTTTAAAGAATGATAAAATGTTAAAGAAAAAGAAATTCTATCCCCAGGAATAATGGTCAGAAATCTGAGAGCAAGTCTCCTCTCTCGGTATACATTTAGTTTCCTTTTTTCAGTTAGCTTCATGCAAAGGGTTTGTGGAACCGGATACAGGGTTTGCTTCCACACTGCAATCATTGGCATAGATAGACTTTATATGGATGACAGACGGTATCTTCCGGCTTGTGTAACTGCAACAGGGTCATTTATAACAGCGCTTGCCTGAGTTTCAGCCATCACTGCTCCCATTTAGATCAGTTGACTGGATTGCTCCCCATCAAGGCTCCGGGGCAATGTCCCCTTTATCCCCTGGCTCTGACTCAGCCTGCACACAGTACCTGCTCCCTCTCTGTGTTCTGTCAGGGTGTGCCGTGGATGGCTGCCCTCCTCAGTCTACACAACAGCGTGCATGCAAAGCCCCTGACAGATTTCACTGCACACTTTCGAGAGCAGCGTGTGAGGCTACATTGTAGGTATGCAAAGAGCTCCAAGTCAGACCTCAGAAACTCTAGGTATCACTGGACTAGAGGCTGCGCCATCACCGCGCAGGGCTCTCCAGGCGCTCTGTGTTTCACGGCTGGTCTGTCCAGCCCCTCCACTCCCCTGGCCTCCCGGCCTCACGTCCTGCAGCACACCTTGGTGACGTGCTTGGCACACCCCATTTTGCAGAATCCTTTCTCAGTATCAGCCTCACGTCTGTCTTGGCCATGAGGAATGCCACGATGTCCAATAAAAGGGGCTTAATTCAGCTATCAAACAGACCAGATTGGCCATTACATAAGCATATACTTCAGGGTAGCTGCAAATCAGCGCTGATATCCAACAGACAAAACGAACCATTTTCTTACATTTACTGCATTTGGCTGGTGTGTCTACTAAACTACGTTAGACCTAACAATGCCTCCGCCTTCCTCCTTTCGTTTTTACATGTTTATTGAAGAAATGTGGCCAAAGATATCAAATTATAGGCATTAGTGCCTCTGCTTATGCAACAGCGGAGAAATTAGAAACTCAGTAGACCTATATAAAAGAGTTGTTAATATTTTATATGAGAAATGGTACTGTGGTTAGATTTTATCTTAAATCTTATGTTTTAAATTGGGTGTGGTGGTGTATACTTGTAATCCCAGCACCTGAGAGGGCGAAGCAGGAGAATTATATGTGGTCAGCTGGGGCGACACAATGAGACCCTGTATCAGAGAAAATAAATAAATGAAAGAAAGGAAGGAAGGAAGGCAGGAAACAGAAAGTGGCCACTTCTGAGTTGTGCAGACGAAGCCGGATGGTGTGTGGGATGGACACTGAGCGGTCTGCAGGTGCTCGGAGAGGCAGGGAGGAAACTAGAACAGCTGTTCTGGGAACTGCTGGCGCTCAGAGACAGGTGTGGGGAAGGTCACCACGCTATTGTCTCCTTCGCATATTTTTGACATTTGCATAATTCAGACGCTTTAATAAAAAGGTACTCATTCTTAGAAATAATCAACTACTCACTCCATTTTAACAAGAGGTGACTGTACCGTGTTTAATGTTACTATGTGCCGTGTCTGATGACAAGCCTTTATCATCGAGGTTGCACATGAATTCAGACCCATGGGCCATCCATAAGCTCTGGAGCAGGTGTGTAGAAAGCAGCCCATCCGTTATCAAGCTGCACTTGATATGTAATTTCACATGCACTGACTGTGGGCCTGGAAATGCCGAGCTGTGGGCAAGCCTCACCTGCACGCTGTCCTCCAAGGCCGGCTTCTGGTGGCATTCTGGTGTTTCTGATTTAGTTGTTTCCTTTTGTCTTGTTTTCCCTGTTTTGCAGCATTTTCAGGTTGCTTCTTTTTCCTTTGATTATTTCTAAACAGCTTTTAGTTGTCCAACAGACTAATCCCAAGGGTTATCATGAATCATGGTCTCCTGGACTATTGTCATCAGAGCCACGTCCATGGCTCAGTGATTCTACAGCTGTAATCTAGTCAAAGGCACTTTAACAAAAAGTATACAAGTGGCTGAGACTGTTGCTCACAGAGTACAAGTTGAGCTGGCCTGATACGCAACTTCCTGTATGGCAGCTATCCAGTCTCTGAAACACCTACAGTGAAGCGGCCAAGACTGCTTTGAGCCCTTGACCACACAGCGTCTCATGAGCACCACACACACTTGGAAGCAATGAAAGTGCTTCTAGGAGACAGACAGACAGACAGACAGACAGACAGACAGACAGACAGACGCTGCCTTCCCATGCAGGGTCTATTCCACACAGCGTCTGTGTAATTCCACAAATGAGCCTGTCTGCATGATTTGAGATTTACTAAGCTAGGGAGTTAAATTTAAAGCTAACGTGTGTTTCTTGTTCAACAGTTTTCCCAGTGCACAGACAGAATAAAAGACCTGGAGAAACGGTTTGTAGATCCCGACAGTAAGGGCCGAGTCCGCTTCATTCTGGGGAAAGATCTGACGGAAAAAGAAATGGTCAAGAAACTGGATATGGTGAATGCTCTTGTTTGCTCCTGGATGCTGCAGTTCCGTCTCCCCTCCTGCTGCAGACCTACCCTTTGTTACTCTGTCCCTAGCTGTAAAGTAGTTCTAAATCCTAACTTTGATTCAGACATTTACCCAAGCAAGTAAAGATTCAGTGGTTTCCACACACAAAGGTACCCTGCTCTCCTAGCCCAATAACTAATTTTGACTTCTTGGGTGAATATGCTAATTTGTCATCCTGGAGGGAACACCTGGAAAGAAAGGCATTGTGGGTACCACACAGAGGCAGAGGGCCATGGTCCGCCCGCAGCAGAAGGGCTCTCCGAGGCGTCCTGACATAGCACAGCTCCTGGGCTGTTCAGAGGGTTTTTCACAGCTAAGAAAGCCATGTGTCTATCCTGGGGTGGAGGATGGACTGCAAAGACTAGCCTCACACAGGTAACTTTTTAACTCCCACTGAAATTGTTTCCAACTGTAGCTGGAACTTCAGCTGGCCAAGAAGGAGGAGAAGTTACTGGAGAAGGATTTCATCTACGAGCAGGTGTCTCAGCTCACAAACAAGCTCAGAGGCAAAACCCAGGCTTGCAAGGAGGACACGCTGCTCTTAGCCAAGAAGGTCTGCCTGAGTGAACCGATCCCCACCGTCACTCTCTCCCTGCCTCAACTTCTGCTATCACGCCATTTCCTACTCTTAGTTTGCTGGCAAGCACCAGAGAGATGAAGTTTTGAGTCTAGAAATATAGCAAATGTAAACATTAGTCCAAAACAAGCTCCCTGAGTGAACCCGCAGGAAGGAAGCCTTAACTTTTCAAGGACAGTACTCAAGTTTCCTTAGCAAGAGGACTTCTCAAATAGAACTGACCTTATCTCTGTAGTCTGTGTACAAAGTAAAACCCTTTCTATTTCTTTCTGAGCCAAAAGCCTTGCTTTTCCAGTGGTCTGAGTAGGAACTGCCCCAATACAGAACTGAGCCAGAACCCACAGATGCAAAGGGCAGACTGAAGGGAACAGCAGTCCCACAGTTCCCAGGCTGGAGATCTGAAGCTGCTAGCGGTGGCTGCTGAAAGCAACAGCTAGCAGGAGGAAGGCTGGTGACTAAAGGTGACAGGATCACACTGGGTGCCGCAGAGGATGGTGCACTCGCCTGGCTTCTGTGAGGCCCCGAGCATCCTCCAGAAGAGGGCTTTCTCGTTCATATTTGCTGTGCACTGTCTCACCATGCCTGAGGAAGACACAAAGAGGAAGGGGGCATGCATGCACTCTCTTATCGGTGTGAGAAAGAAGGAAGTACGCGAACTCGCCGAGTCTACATCCATACCACCTGAGCATACCTACCCTGTCTGGTAAGGGTGCAGGGTTTGTTCCTACACCCCAGACCAGGCTCCGGGAGGTAGACTTCTTCCTCTTTACCTCTCAGTGCCTTGCACATAAGAGATGCTAGGAAATGATCATGAGTAAATAAGGAAATGTTCAGTCCTGTTCTAGAGATATTTGTGCCAAGTTATGTAGGCGGAGTTTCTGTTCCTCCAGATCCAGCTGCCATTTAGACTCAAATAAACACACAGAGACTTTTATTAAATTATAAACTAGTTGGTCGATGGCTCAGGCTTCTTACTGACTAGCTCTCTCTTAATTATTAACCCATAACTATTAATCTATGTATTTCCACATGGCCTTATCTTACCAGAGAATGCCCGGGCATCCTACTTCCCAGTAGCTACATGGCGTCTCCCTGGCAGCTCCTCTCTGCATTCCTCTTCCCAGGATTCTCCTCCTCCACCCAAACTTCCTGCCTGGCTACTGGACAAGCATTGTTTTATTCACCAACCAATAAGAGAAATACATAAACAGAAGGACATTCCCCATCAAAGCTATATTGGAAACGACTGTAAAAATTTACCTAAAAATGTTGAAAACACCATTTTCACGTGGGCTTTGCATTCTGCACTGGTGAGCCCAGTGGCAGCAGTATATACAATTTGGCCTCACAAACAAAGAAGTGGTAAGATTGATTCAAACCAGTGAGCTTTGTCTGAATTAACAACTCCCCCATGTTTCTGCACGTGTCTCCTTCCTTTGCTTTGCAAAATGAATTGCCCTCTCTTGAGAGAAAGTCACGTTTTCATTGAGAGATGATTTTTCATAGCTAAGGGCAGTGTCTCTGGAAATTACTTGTAATACTAGAAAAACACAGTGTGTCCAGAAAAGCCCCCAAATAGCTGGAAAGGCTCAAACTGATAAACCCATATTATCATTTGGTCCAGATGTTGTTAGTAGGTCAGAACTCAGGCATCAAGAGCACTCCCCTCTCTTCCTTACCACATAAAAACAAACATTAAGCTACCCTTCAGTGCTCTCCAACTGGAAGTTAGGAACTAGACAAACCTTTCTTCTCATTCCTTTCCTTACTTTTTATTTACATAACCAAATCTGTTGGATTCTGTCCTGCTTAGTTTGGTCAATGTGATATAACCTATAGTCACTTGAAAAGAGGGAACATCTACTCTCTAGATCAGATTGACCTTGGCCATATCAATGAAGGAATGTCTTATTTGAGGGTTGGTATTGGGGGCCTAGCCCTCAGTGGACCATGCCATCCCTAGACAGTTAGGTGTAGGCTATGTAAGAAAGCATGACCCAATAAATGAGTCAGAGAATAAGCCAACAGACAGCATTACTCTGTGACTTTTATGCGAATTCTTGCCCTGACTTCCCTCAATAATGGAAGTATATGCCAAAAGGCTCCTTCCTCCATAAGTCTCTTTGGGTCATTGCTTTATCACAGCAACAGAAAAGCAAACAGGACAGGCTCAATCCCTAAAACCTCTTTCAGAGATTTTCTATGAATTCCAGTCAGTCTGCTGTCTTTTCTACAACTAACCCTTAGGCTTGTCAATTCTAGATGAATGGCTACCAGAAAAGGATCAAAGATGCTACTGAGAAAATGATGGCTCTCATTGCTGAACTGTCCATGAAACAAGCCCTGACCATTGCACTCCAAAAGGAGATGAGGGAGAAGGAACAATTCATCTTCTCCTGCAGTTCCAGGATAGAAAAGGGCCTACCACTCAACAGAGAAATCGAGAAGGACTGGCTGAAGGTACTTCGAGATGAAGAAATGTATGCCTTTGCCACAGCTGAGAAGTCTCGGGTAAGCGCTGACTTCCCCTCCACAGTGGCCGGCAGAGTCCCTCCTCTCATGATCCAGTGCATGGCCCCTTGTCTGAAAGGCTTGCTAACAGAGACATTTTGAACTTTCTAGGATTTTCATGGGATATTTAGGGAGTGGGGCCAAATCTAAACCCCAGGCTCACTGGTTTCATATATGTCTCATACCCATGGGCGGAAGGTGATTTTCATACAGTATGTTAGTATATTTGTATTTTGGCGTCGATCATAATATGACATCAGGTATGGAATTATCTACTTGGGACATCATTTGAATCTCAGGGTCTCATATCAGGCATGCTCAACCTGCACATGAAGATGTTCCACTCTAACACAGTCTGCACGGCTAGCAGAAAGGAGTTTGATATGCAGAAGAGACTTGGCTCTAGTGGTCAAAGCACAGCCTTTCTCCCAGAACACCTGGCAAGCATGAAATCCCACCCCACAGTCACACCCTGGACTGCCGTGACTGAACTGTGGCCTCCTCCAGCATGACTATGCCCACTCTATGGCTTTATCTGTAACATGGCTTTATCTGTCCTCAAACTCTTGCTAACACCACACCGGGCTCTTCTATGTCCATCTGTCATGGCCACCACAGCCCTCTACAGAGTCACACCTGGTATGGATCATAGACCTCCATGCCACCCCTTCCTCATCCCCGGTGACCAAGGTCTTGGTCCATCACAGACACCAGCAGCAAGTTTGGTTCCCTGTTCATCCATCTAACTCCGTGATCTCTGAATAGTTTTACACTTAGAAAAAGGCATCTCTTCCCTAGATGGCCACATTTTGGGGACAGTTTGCTTAGACTGTCCCATGAATGGTTCTGGAAAGATCATGTTTCACTTTCTAATTCCAGACACATAGTAGGCACACCTGAGCATGCGGTCTGATTGTAATTCTGAACTACACTGGGCCATCCTTCCTGGGGGTCCCCTGAGGCATCCCTCATCTTTCTCTACCACCTAGTTCACGTTAGTGCTGTAGAGGAGTTGTTTTCCTTAATCACAGGCAGACAGCTGAGGACCAAGACTTATCATTCCTCCTGGTTCCAGTCTCATTGTTTCTGTTGTAATACTTTCTCCCCAATGGCAAAGGAAAAGTATTACTGCCTTTGTCAAGAACGTGGAAAGAATGAAGAGCTCGGTGACAGACACTGAGTTGGAGACAGTGCACGTGGGACCCACACTAAGCCCCAGCATCAGCACGATGCTTGAGCTGTGCCCACACCCATTCAGAGCAGGCGGCAGAGGTGGGAGTGGGCTTCGTACTCATTCCCTCTGCTGGATGTTGTGGAATGTTAGTTTAAGATGTGTTGCTTTTTTATGCTGTGGAATATTTGTTAATGAGGCAAAGATGTGTTGCATTCTTTTATGTTGTAATTGTTTAACTCTGTGAAGATGTGTGTCTTTGCCTATTAAAACACCTGATTGGTCTAATAGAGAGCTGAACAGCCAATAGCTATGCAGGAGAGAGGGATAGGGAGGACTGCCAGGCAGAGAGAATAAATAGGAGAAGAAAGAAGCAGAGCAAGCAAAGGAGGGGGAGGAGAGGATGCCAGGGGTCAGCCACCCAGACACACAGACACACAGACACACAGACGCACAGACGCACAGACGCACAGACACATAGACACCCAGCCACCCAGCCGCACAGACACACAGACACCCAGACACACAGACACACAGACGCACAGACACACAGACACACAGACACACAGACACACAGCCACCCAGCCGCACAGACACACAGACGCACAGACGCACAGACGCACAGACGCATAGACACACAGACACACAGACACACAGACACACAGACACCCAGACACACAGACGCACAGACGCACAGACACACAGACACCCAGACGCACAGACGCACAGACACACAGACGCACAGACACACAGACGCACAGACACACAGACACACAGACGCACAGACACACAGACGCACAGACACACAGACACACAGACGCACAGACACCCAGACACCCAGACACCCAGACGCACAGACGCACAGACACCCAGACACCCAGACACACAGACATACAGACACACAGACACACAGACACACAGACACACAGACACACAGACACACAGACACAGACACACAGACACCCAGCCACACAGCCACACAGACACACAGACGCACAGACGCACAGACGAACAGCCACACAGCCACACAGACACACAGACGCACAGACACACAGACACCCAGACACCCAGACACCCAGCCACACAGACGCACAGACGCACAGACGCACAGACACATAGACACCCAGCCACCCAGCCGCACAGACACACAGACACCCAGACACACAGACACACAGACGCACAGACACACAGACACACAGACACACAGCCACCCAGCCGCACAGACACACAGACGCACAGACGCACAGACGCACACACAGACACACAGACACACAGACACCCAGACACCCAGACACACAGACGCACAGACGCACAGACGCACAGACACCCAGACGCACAGACGCACAGACGCACAGACACACAGACACACAGACGCACAGACACACAGACGCACAGACACACAGACACACAGACGCACAGACACCCAGACACCCAGACGCACAGACGCACAGACGCACAGACACCCAGACACACAGACACACAGACATACAGACACACAGACACACAGACACCCAGACACCCAGACACCCAGCCACACAGACGCACAGACGCACAGACGCACAGACACACAGACACCCAGACGCACAGACGCACAGACGCACAGACGCACAGACACCCAGACACACAGACACCCAGACACCCAGACACACAGACGCACAGACGCACAGACGAACAGACACACAGCCACACAGACACACAGACGCACAGACGCACAGACGAACAGACACACAGACACACAGACACCCAGACACACAGACACACAGACACCCAGACACACAGACACACAGACACACAGACACACAGCCACCCAGACACACAGCCACCCAGACACACAGACACCCAGACACCCAGACACACAGACGCACAGACACACAGACACCCAGACACCCAGACACACAGACGCACAGACGCACAGATGCACAGACGCACAGACACACAGACGCACAGACACACAGACACCCAGCCACAGACACCCAGACACACAGACACACAGACACCCAGCCACAGACACACAGACACACAGACACACAGACACACAGACACACAGACACACAGCCAGACACAGAGTAAGAAGGAAAGCAAGACACAGAGAACAAAGAGAGGTCAAAGGCCCAGAGGCAAAAGGTAGATGTGATAATTTAAGTTAAGAAAAGGTGGCTAGAAATAACCCCAAGCCAAGGCTGGGCCTTCATAAGAGCAAGTCTCTGTGTATTTACTTGGGAACTGGGCGGCACCCCCCAAAGAGCAAAGAGAAAAACCAGCTACAAGTGAGTATCAGCCAGCAGAGCCTGAAGCTGCGCTTTTAGGACTCAAGGAGAAGTAAGTTCAGTGCTTTCAGAAAAGTAAAATGAAAACATCTCCCTTTGCAGGAGTACATGGAAACAGACTATCGGCAGCTGCCCAATGGCGTTTACACAACTGCAGAGCAGCGTCCAAATGCCTACATGCCTGAAGTAGAAACTGCGCTTCCTCTGCCCAAACCCTATGGTGCACTGGCTCCATTTAAACCCTCTGAAATTGGAGCCAATAGGAGGCACATAAGGAAACCTGTTGTAAAGCCCATTGAAATCTAAACTTGTGAGGCAATCCAGCCCAGCTTCACAGCTGCAGTGGAGAATGAGCACCATGGCTCTAACTCTGCCATCAGTTAGGGACAGTCAACAGCAGAGGGGGCATGGTCTCCTTTGACATTCAGCATGAATGCAGCATAGACTACAACTATGTCAAAGTGTACTTCCATTACTTATATTGACCACATTCAGGAATGTATAGTGGACACGATGCTGTAAAGGTGCAGAATAAATTCAATGAGTTACGGAAATTAGAGCTGTCTTTTTTTCTATTAAAGGAAAAACAGGTGCTCATAATGTGTCCACGATCTGACTACCTAAAAGGGGTAGGACACAGTCTGAGTGACGCAGGGCACAGTCTGAGTGACACAGGACACAGTCTGAGTGACGCAGGACACAGTCTGAGTGACGCAGGACACAGTCTGAGTGACGCAGGACACAGTCTGAGTGACGCAGGACACAGTCTGAGTGACACAGGACACGGTCCTCTTTGGGGACACAGTCTGAGTGACACAGGACACAGTCTGAGTGACGCAGGACACAGTCTGAGTGAGGCAGGGCACGGTCCTCTTTGCAGCCGCACCTGAAGTCCGTGGGAAATGCAGTGGTGACATGTGCCACTGAGTAGCGCCACTGAAGTTCTGTTTTACAGGCATTCTTTTGCTGCAAAAATATTTAGGCCCTAGTTTATTTCTTAAGAATACACTTTTTTCACATTATCTACAAACAAGTTCATGATCATTTTAAGTTCTGATACTTGATTTTTCAAAATGTCTGCCAAAATTCTGCATTTATAGCTTCTGTAAGAATAGTTTTACTTATTTGCTCAAGTTTTCATTTCGCCCAAGTATTTCTGTGATTCCGGTGTTTTTATTAGACATGATGATTCACTAGTATGTGAGACCTGAACTTTTACATTTACTAATTTGCTTAAGCTATTTCTTTTGTGCTGGTCGCAGTTATGGATTTTGTTCATGTCCAGTTCTAGTAGACTAAGTAATACCATACTTTTATTTTGCTAAATCCAACATCCTGTTCCAAGTCCCTATCCTGTCACATTGGATGGGAATTTGAATACTCTCACTTTGTGAGTCCGGCAAAGATCACAGCAAAGCAAACGACTTATGAGAGCCTTCAGTAGTTTGTCTGGTAAGAGAAATAATGCACATTTAAACAATTCCCACGTGAGTGAATTAGTAACCCCTTCAGGGATTCAAAGCATGCACAGAGGCTGCTTAAATGCAGTAAGAATGGATGGGATGGATTCTTAGACACCGCAATGCACTGCAGGTGGACAGAAGGCAGATGCCACCATGTATACCAGGGCTGTATTACACACAGTTGGGTGTGCATGTGCGCGCCTGTGGGTGTGCGTGAGTGTGTGTCTGCATGTGTGTGTGCACACGTGCATGCGAAACTCTGTGTGTGTGTGTGTGTGTGTGTGTGTGTGTATCTAACCCTAGAGCATGAAGTTGACTTTTGTGAGGTAGCGAGGTGATGGGAAGTCCTTGTATATGTCAATAAAGCACTGTTGGCCAATAGGGAAGCAAGATAGGTGGGACTAGGAGTCCAGGAGGATTCTGGGTAGGAGAAACACAGGGAGTCAAGATGTAACCACCATAGGGTTAAGAAGCCTGGAAACTTTTCTCCAGTAAGAGAAATACTTAGATTGGCAGTTATGGGGTAAATACTTAAGTCAGAGCTAGCCAGTAAGAAACAAGCAAGGCCAACAGCTTCACAATTAATACAGTGTCTTGTGTGTTATTTGGGGACTACAATGAGGCAGAGCCCAGGCGGCTGGTGGGGAAAAAACCAAAGCGGCAGACAAGAAAAAGGCTTCTCTCTACAGCGAGGGATTCCAAATAGAGGAAACAACCTGACCCAGCCTTAGAAATAAGAAGGCCAAACAAGCGAGCTGGTTTGGCTTCAAAACACTGTTCATATTTTACAGCGTCAAAATTTCATTTAAATGCCAAGAAATTTGTATGTTACCCTTCATTCAATGAATAGCAAGTTATTGAATAATTTTGGGCTGTCAAAGTCAAACTGATGTTTACTTCAAATATGTATCCAATAAATTCAACTTAGGAAATCACAGGAACAATTCAGGTATGAACAGAAATGAGTGAAAGCAAAGAAATCAGAAAACCCATTCACTCTAAAAACGTAGGGAAATGAAGTTAGAATAGCAGAAAGTAAATGAACCATTGAAAACGCAAATTAAATATTCTGTAAGGATTTTACTTGAAAAGGGGATTTTTTAATTTAATTTAAACTAAATAAAATCTGCTGTCTCCAGCACAGAGTAATTTGTAACACAAGTAATTTGTAACACAAGAAATGCAAATATACAGTATTTCCACATTGCTATTCAGTGCCAAGATTCCGAGCCTGACTAAGATGGCTTTTGGAGCACAGCAAAGACTGCAGAAAATAAGGTGAATTAGCATATGAGATAGTGGTATTTAAAATCATTAAAGTTTCCCCTTGTGAAAGGGAACCGGACGGGGAACTGAACCTCATAGGTCAGGGTGACGTGAAGGACACAGATGAGGAAGGGTGTAGCCCCTAGTCAGAGCCGCGACTCCTGCAGGGCTCGCAACGCCCCACGCCAATAAAACACCAAACACCAGGGAAGGGTCAAACCAAAGCTCTCAGCATTGAGGTCGTGTTCAATGGAAAGATATCACTAAATCAAACCTCCATAAATATAAAAATTAAATACAGTCTATCTGAACCACCACAAAGGCTGCTCTAAGTCCCGTATGTACAAACATGATTTGTCACAGTTACTCCACGCTGGAAATGGCAGATCTTGCTTAGTCCAAATCCGGGTTCTTCCAAAGAAGACCTCTTCACAACCTTTAATTTTTCTGCTTGCTTGATGTTTTTGCAGTGGTCTATCTAGCTCTCCCTGCTGTAAGCGTTGTTTCCTAGGTGTTTTATTTGACTCTGAGGTGCTCCCAGCCTGCTGAGTCAGGGAAGAGCACTGTTCCTGCTGCAGGACAGTCTCAAACCATTCGTCCTTTCTCTTCTGTTCACTGGCTGCTCACTCTGGAAAGAGATGTAGCTGGGGGCTCTGTTCGAACATGAACTAAAGCGAAGCCCAAACAGCTCCGCAACATTCCTGACCTGTTTCCGATCTTGAAGACTGCTGAGGAAAGCCCAGGAAGAGGGGCTGAGAACAGGGCATGGGCACATCGGCTTTTACAAGCCCAGAAGCACTGTGGTGTGTTTCAGTGCAGCTTCCTCTACAAATTCTGAATCCACGTTGTCCTGGCCTTCAAAACCACACAGAGCTGGGGGCAGGGAGGGAGAGTGTTGTTACTATGGAGTTTCGGCTATTTACAACTTGACTCCCACAGCTCACTGGGAGCATCGTTTTATGTGTTAGTGTTACTCTGAGACTACGTTGTTAGTCTCATTAAACTTTGGCACTAAAGAGTGTTCCCCTCAACCGGAACAGACCTTAGACACCTCGAGTCCCTTTCAGTCTTCAAAGGTAAGTGTTGCTTGGGTAATTCAGGAAGTACAGTATTCTCTCTAATGAAAATCAGTTTTAATAAGGGCATAACTTACAAGGGGGAGCTTAGGGAAGGGAACAATACAGGCTGTGCCTGGGGAGTGGCTAACACATCACGAGGAACTCCTAGGGACGGAGGAGTGGACTACCTTGGTGGGAGGACTCCAGGCCTGTCAGAATTTCTATGAAGCAGTTGAGAGGCAGGAATTCTGTTGGGAATGATGACTTGCCAATCATAGAGTTTCGAGGCTAAAGGAGAAAATACTCCCTGTATGTTAATTGCTTCTCCAAGACATTCAGCTTTAAACAAAATGACAGAAAACAGAATTGTGTCCACCAGGGCAGACAAAATGGCGGACGGCGCCCGTAGAACGCTTACTGCCTGGGCTTCACGTAGCTCACCTCTTTCTTGTAGTCCTTCAGCAGCTGCGCCACATGGTTCCGTGAGATGATGTTGGAGCTCATGGGATGGTCCCAAAACCGGCAGACCTTCTGGCCCAGAAGCTACAGTGCAGTTGAAAATCACACAGAGGAGAGTATAGGTCACCGTGCTCTGAACGGATCACATACCTACTGCAAACTGTTCTAAAATGCAGAACCTGTGTGACCCGTGGCTGTAAGGGAAGCCACGCTCACGAGACTTGCTTCTGAAGTTTTCCTGAATACCCTCAGCTCTCCTCAGCTTGAGGAGAGCAACTTTCACCTCAGTGTGCCAAGTTTTCTCCTGGACTGATGTTGAATCTGAGCTCCTTCAAAGCTAGGCATGGGCATGGCAGCCGAGTGACACTCGGACCAGAAACTAAAGGTGTCATATGTGTTTCTGTTGTTTTCTCCTCCACTATCTGCCCTAGGAACTTTACAAACCCTAATCCATAAAGGTCAGCGTTGGAGACCTGGGGGAGACAGCGTGGGAAGGGTGGAGACTTTGTTCTCAGGAAGCCTGTCACAGGAGTGACGGCTACACAGCAAGACCACCAGGTCCAGAAAGCCAAGGGGCAGAGGATGACCAGTGCCAAAGGTCCCGTGCTCTCGGCGTGTAAACAGCACACTGGCCAGGTCAGGATGTTTGCAGAGGGCTGAAGGACCTCGCTGTGGAATTTCATGTTCCCATGATGTTTCCAACTCTGAGAGCTAACATCGCCCACAAACGAGCGGGGAGTGCCGGCCTCACATTTTCCTCTTTTGACCCTGGTAATGTCTGCCTGTGCTCAGAGCTGTGACAGGAGGAGGGAATGGCCTTCAGAGCCTCCTGACCCTCGGGCTCTGATGTAAGAATCATTCTGGTTACCTAAGAGGAGACTGGACAAAGGCTCCACAGAGCAGCCCAGAGCCATCACTCCACAGTGCCAGAGAAGCGCTCAACGTGTAAAGGCAGAGGTGGGCGGGGTCTCACGGAAAGACTGAAACACCCAACAGGCCCAGCCTCAAGCAAGGGGAAGATCTTCTTACAAGAGACAAACGGAAGGAGGGTGGATGAGACTTGAGAGGAGGGGAATTTCAGTATTACCGGAGGCAGCCTCGCAACGATGCTGAATTTTAGCTTTTCATTTTTCTCTGAATTGTCCAGATCTACAAGAAAGTTGGAGATCAACAAATAAGACAGGCATATCTATTTTAGTACCTCGGCAAGCTTTAAATCCTGAGTGTTTCTTCCTGAGATGTCCCGAGCCTGCATTCACAGCTAGTGATGTTTTCAAAGCTTTACTTGTGACTCGAAATTAAGGGGGCTTTTATTTTGTAACAGCTGCCAGTCACTGAGCAATTTTACCCACCACCACAAACCATACGGTACTCTGAAGACTGGCAAATGGTCTTACAGCGTTACCAAAACCT